GATCTGGAAAACTTATGATGCCAAAGAAATGAAAAAAAGAACAAACATCGTTGCAGTGACTGTTTCTATTTCAGAACGTGACTTTGTTCCACTGGCTCTTGTGAGGGGGTTGTTCTCTGCAATGAAGACCGGATCCCCAAAGACTTCTCTCAGTTAGAATCAAGTGTATGAATAGCATCGAATTTACTTTTCTGCTGCATGCCACATAATAACTCCACAGTGGATTGGGAAACTATTTGTAGCAATACTTCCCAACGATTAGCTGCTGAAGTACAAAATTAGACATATATCCTTTAATACTGTAGTAACCTTGACACGTCTACATCTGCCCCAAAACTATAAAAAAAAAAACAACCAAGGAAACAAACAAAATACATCCCTCATCAATCTCAGAATGATGAAGGCTTTGCGAAGACACTGATGGATGTAAGAAAGATTACATGATGAATAGAACTGACAGGGAAATTTTCGCAAAACAGGAAATTTACTGGCAGAAAACAAAAGTTTCTATGCAAAAGTTCTGATGAAACTATTTTTGATCCTCAGTGTATGAAGACTTGGGCCACAGTGCAGAAAGTTGAAGATATCAGGATGAAGACTTGGGCCATGGTACAGAAAGTTGGAGATATCAAGGAGGGTTGAACATTGGCAGAAGGACCAGAAGCTCTGAGATGAGTTTGAAAAAGTCAAAAAAGAAACACTTTCTTTTCCGGACCAGAAATGTTCTTATACAAATAAAAAGTGAGAGAAAAAGATCACAAGTTATGAAAATTTATTATTCATTGGTGGGTGTGTGATAAAATGTCAACATATCCATTCCTTTCATTCATCAGCAAAAATAAAAGTCATGAAAAATCATGACATAAGGTTGAATAAGGAATTCTTCTCTACTGGCTTGTAGACGAACGTATTAGGATATTACAGTTTCATGTTTTAGCGTAAACATTACGCTTTGGTCAAGGACGTGGTTTACATCAACTTTAAGTGATTCAAGATGGCAGTATGAAATGAGAGAATCGTAATATTTCATACAGTGATAAGGAAATATTTTATAAAAGAAGATTCAGCTGAACTCCTACAGAGCAAGGAAACACCAAAACACGTAGGATACTGAAAAAGTATGTGACGTGCTGCGCGCGCTGCATGATGTGGCGGGTGGGCCAAGACACGTTTGTTCTGTGCGTCAGTGTTTATACACATATACAAGGTCCTGCCTCGGTTGGGCTGTTGTTAATATTTAGATAGCATACGGTTTGCATATATTAGCGGTCCTATTGAAAAGGTTAGCATCTTTTCCATAATATTCTCCACTCGGAAATGAAATTATAGATGATAATGATACTAGCATACCTGTACGTACAGATAATATGGATACTTATTGTAGGTGAGTTATAAGTTTTTTTTTGTTATTTTTCAGTATTTAATGTATTCATATAAAAAATAAAAGGTATATTCGCAACTCAATCTATGAAATTACTGTTATAAATTTCAATGTTGCCCAGAACAATAGTCACGCGCAAGATTGTTGGTGATCCATTTAAAGGTGTTTTAAAATTATTATTCAGCAACGCAACAATAGTCCTCTCTAGTTAATATTTGTAGTGCATTTTAGGGTATAAAAGACATTTTAACGCTAGTAATAAACAACCTTATGACAACAATTTTAGGGTATAAAAGACATTTTAACACTAGTAATAAACAACCTTATGACAACAATTTTAGGGTGTAAAAGACATTTTAACACTAGTAATAAACAACCTTATGACAACAATTTTAGGGTGTAAAAGACATTTAACACTAGTAATAAACAGCCTTATGACAACAATTTTATGGTATAAAAGATATTTTAACATTAGTAATAAACAACCTTATGACAACAATTTTAGGGTGTAAAAGACGTTTAAACACTAGTAATAAACAACCTTATGACAACAATTTTATGGTATAAAAGATATTTTAACACTAGTAATAAACAACCTTATGACAACAATTTTAGGATATAAAATAAATTTTAACACTAGTTATAAACAACTTTATGACAACAATTTTAGGGTATAAAAGACGTTTAAACACTAGTAATAAACAACCTTATGACAACAATTTTAGGGTATAAAAGACGTTTAAACACTAGTAATAAACAACCTTATGACAACATTAAAAAAAAATTAACTGGACACTCAACGTTTCGCTTTGTAATTTCTTCAGGAGAGTTCCGCTAAAACACAAAATGTAACTTACAATACCCTCTAGTTGATACCCGTGGTGGGCAGAGCACAGATAGCCCTTTGCGTAGTTTTATGCTTAACTACAAACAAACAAACCCTCTAGTTGAAAAATGCAAGAAAGTGAACTTTAAAAGCTTTTTATATACATGTATCCTTGGCAATACTAAATAAAGGCAGTACTACAAAAACAAGCAAAAAAAATTCAAATTATGCGTTTGTCTCTTTATAAAGTGATGTTGCCCGACCTTTCAACGTATGACAACTTTCGAAAGGGCTTCTCTGCTTGGCCTAAACTTTGGCTCTTTATCAGACAAATGAATTCCCAGTTGCAAGTTACAGATAATAAATTCAAAAAAAAAAAACTAAATTAAATCTGTAATTTATAATTTTATGGAAAATGGCACCATGTTTAGTGGGAAAACAAAATTGAATATCTTTTTATTGGGGAGGGGGGAGCCGAAAAACGTTATCGCCCTATTTTGGGCGAAATGGTGGGGTATACTACTTATTTGCTTCCTTACCATGTATGTTATCAACTCTATTGTCGTTAGGTCATCTGAAAGTAACCATTTACTATTTCTTTGATATTTGTTTAATGAACAGTTCTGAATGTGAGATTTGTGTACATAAACTGACGAATGATTCTTCAACAGATACCTTTTATATTTACGAACAAATGAACACATAGGACGTACATACATAAGATTATAAGTATATATAAGTTACATAACAAAACTGTTATCACTTTGAAGTGGTAAACAGAAATACGCGAGTGAAGCAAACATAGAACTATGCAGTATATTACACGGGTAATGTAACATCTGGAGTTCTTGTCTCCCACTGGTTCAGCGGTAAGTCTCTGGATTTCAACACTACAATTCGGAGTTCGATTCCCAGCAGTGGACAGAACGCAAAGTTCCCACTGTGTAGCTTTGCGTTGACAAAAACAACAGCATTGTCGCCCACCAGTAGCTCAGCGTTACGTCTGGGCGCTTATAATGCTGCAAACAAATTTACGTTCTCACAAAGCTAAGATCCTGGGTTCGATTCGTCATGGTGAACAGAACGTAGATAGTCTATTGAGAAGTTCTACGCTAAAACAAAAATACCACTTGAAATCTCGAAGAAGAACAAACAGCGACACGTGAGAGGATAAGCAGGTTGTACTCGTCTAAGCGTGAGAGGATAAGCAGGTTGTACTCGTCTAAGGGTGAGAGGATAAGCAGGTTGTACTCGTCCAAAATGCGAGAGGATAAGCAGGTTGTACTCGTCTAAGCGTGAGAGGATAAGCAGGTTGCACTCGTCCAAAACGTGAGAGGATAAGCAGGTTGTACTCGTCCAAACAGCGACACGTGAGAG